CTCTGGTGTCCCTGCTTCTGCTTCTCACTATGTCTGTTCCCCATATGGCAGTCAGAAGGATCCTGTTAGAACCCACTTCAGCTCACCTCCCTCCTGTGCTCAGGGCCCTCTCATGGATCCTGTCTCAGAGTAAAAGCAAAGTGTTCACCATGGATCTCAGGGCTCTGTGGGACATAGCCTCCTTTGTCCCATCTTTAAGTTCACCTCCCACTTTCTCCCCCTCACTCATCCCATTAATTTCACACTGACATCCTCATTGTTCCTCAATTGCAACAGACGCATTTTCACCCCAGGACCTTTGCACAGGCTGTTCCCTTTACCTGGAATGCTCTTCCTCCCAGATATCCCCCTGGCTCCTCCTGATTCATTCAGGTCTTTGCTTAAATGTCACCTTCCAAGTAAAGCCGTCTCCAGTCACTCTGTTTAATACCACAACCAGCTCCCAGGGACCCTGATCCCCTTCACCTGCTCTCCTGTTTCTGTTTTCCCATAGCATTTTTAACCTTCGAACATATTAAACCATTTACTTATTCGCTGTGTTTGTTATTTATCATCTGTCTCTCTTTGACTGCAGAATATCAGCTCTCTAGGAGTGGGGACTCTGTTTCATCTACTGTTATGTCCCCAGCACCTAGGACAGTTCCTTGCACACAGTAAGTGCTCCGTAAATCTGTTGAATAAATGAAATAAACTCTTTGAGAAACTGTGCTCTAGCTGGTAGGATGGTGGGGAACTTTTACTTCCTCATTACTTTTACATGCTGCTGGCTTTTTTTTTTTTAAAGATGACCAGTAAGGGGATCTTAACCCTTGACTTGGTGTCGTCAGCACCACGCTCCCAACTGAGCTAACCAGCCATCCCTATATAGGGATCCGAACCTGTGGCCTTGGTGTTATCAGCACCGCACTCTCCCGAGTGAGCCACAGGCTGGCCCTGCTGCTGGCATTTTCTAAAACTAACTTAGTTACCTTATAATAAGGTGGGGGGGGAAGGCCAACAAAGCTATACTTAAAACATTAAATTTTTTTAGGGCCGGCCCGTGGCTCATATAGGGATGGCCGGTTCGCTCACTTGGGAAAGCGTGGTGCTGACAACACCAAGTCAAG